TCCTTCTCATGTTCCCCACTAGCAAGTCATAGTGCCTTAAGATGTCTCTTTTCAAATCAGAGGCATAAAAAGCATCATCAAACTTTACCAAATTAGTCATCTGACCAAAATACGAAACACAAAGAAGAAAAGCCATAAAACTCAACTGGAAGTCCAAAAATCTCTCTATCAAAAGTTTCAGCTTCTGCCTTCTGCATATTTCCTAGTTTCTTTTTAACCTCCCTCCCGTCTGCCTCATCCTTGAAAACTGTCATCAGCCTTTTGGTTTAATGCTTTTGTTGACAATGCTACACCCATATTGATTGTTGCTTTTAATTAGCATGGAGTACACAGGAAGGAATGAAATTAGTTTGTTCGGTTTCATTACACTCCCGGCATTATGTGATCCAAGTGTCAATAAATTATCATTCTTTCATTAAACAACAACAACAATTCTCTTTATTATCTAAATTACAAAAGGCTGTCTCACTTGGTTGCAAAAGACAACTTGCACATTAACAAAGGGATGTAACAACAATCTCTCAGCAAGGTTGAATAAGGAATTGTTAATCATCTCATAAAGCATTACTTTTGGCATATTTTATTTCAATCTTAGAATGAGCTATTCACATTTGACCTCCTCAGCAACATAAGCTTAAAAAAATAATGCCATGTGACAGAGCAATCCATTTGTAAATAGCTTATTAAAATCATGTAGGTATATACTAATTAAAAGTTACATAGAGTCACTGTCTGTGACTGCCTTAGATGAATTTGAAACAAAACAACTCAATATACCATTGTGTTTTATGAATATTTTTGCCTGCTGAAATGGTGCCCAGATCCAGTTTCTGGCAAACACAATGGTCCCATCATTAACTCCAGCATTCCAGTACGAACTGAGAAACAGCTAGAAAATAGCACCCAGTAATTCCTTCTCCAAAGGCTTGCTCCCACCAAAATGCTAGGTGAGTTCTGGGGGAGCCAGACCATCTTGAAAGAGTAGGATTCATACCTGTGAGTTGGTGTTAATCAGTGCCTTGGAATAGGGCACTGGCTCAGTGCTTGCAAAGGGCTTTGAACCAAGGAGGCAGAAGAGGAAGATCAAAAAAAGAACGGCTGGGAACCGTAAGCAAGTCTCTGAGAGACAACCCATCAGAACTGGGTCTAGCTGAACACATGGCAATATTAACTAAAGCCACTAGATGGTTTCCTCTCTGAAGGAAGTGTTGAATGTTTTTAGACAGTGATGGGGAACCAGTTACATTCATTTTAAATCACAACACTGTCATTGAAAGCTACCTGTGAAACAATCCTGCAGATAAGACTTCTGGAAATTTTTTAATCAGAAAACCCAACCTCTTTGACACACAAAATCTGAAGCCAAAGTGATCCTGTAAGTATCTTCTGGGGGTCAGTATACATGACTTCCCTGTTTCCTAAGATTCAGAATAACTGTGGTGCCAGTTCACAGAAGGTAAAACCTTTTTACTAGCTGAACAATTTCTCATATCATTCTTTCATTATTAGCTCAAGTTTTCTTTAGACAATGGTTCAAAGGTCAATACACTTTTCAAAATTAAATGTACATATTACTTTCTGCTATATAACAAACCAAAGGTCAACTTACATTCTTGTATTTACATTACTTGGGAAAATATCTCTATTTCCAGTATCAGTATTAAAATAATATACTTCTAAATGAGTTTACATATTCCTTTTCTTTAAAGAACTGTGTTAAATTAATTGTTTCATGTAAACAACATTTTGAAAATTAATTATAAGTAAGATGGAAGAGAAATAAAATTAACCAGCTCATTGGGAGTGGAATTGTCCCTGGAATAGGGCTTTAAGAAATCAAAAGTGACACAATAGATTAATAATGCCTGTTATAAATGAGTTTCCATTTTCTCAGTTACATATGATTAATCAACATAATTGCAAGCTGTACTGTGAGTAATGTGTAAGTTTAATTTGTATGGGCTTGGTGATGAAGTAAGTCAAATGAGTCTTTCACCTTTGTTCAAAGCCTTTGTTTCAGATGCAGGTTTAAATATGATTGTCTCATCCTATTCTCTCTTGAGGCACATCAAAAAAACACCAACAAACCTGGAAAAGTCACTGGTACCTACTCAGGAGACGTACTCAGTGATAGAAACATGTGTCAGGGGAAGCTGTGCATGGGGAAGACTGTAAAATACCAGGTAGGGCTGCTAATGACATTCATTTGTTGGTCTAAAATGCACAAGTCAAAAATAAAAACTGTTTCAGGATAAATCCATAATAAGAGAATGAATACTGGTTTGGTTGGTTGGTTTTTTAACCCATCATCAAGTACAATACTCAGAAATCAATCTATCTGTGAAGGTACTACCCTGCAGTGGAGTAGAATTATACCTCCTGAAGAAGACAAACATCAACAGTTAGAAACAGAATTATTCCAGAAACATGCCTAGGGAATCACACAGGTTGTTACAGCCATTTAGGAGTCATAAGGCATTTCTTATAGTTTCACCAAAAATTGAAATCTATATGGAAGACAACATTATACCTCTACTCCAGCAGTATTTAAAAGATACTCTGGAAAGCATCCATTCTGTTTCAGATACTGCAGAAATTGTGGTTTTGTCCATCAGAGGACTATATAAATGCTCTAACCAGAAGACAAATGTTTATTTTATAAGTATCAACATCCAAAATTTAATGCAGATACTTATCACTCATTTAGAGCTGTAGCTTTCAAAAATTAACATATATTAGTGAATAGTGAATTCACCTTCAAAGGCTGCCTCATAGTACTGGATGAACCTCCCTTCCACCCTGCACTGATATATTTAGAAGTAACCTACATTCAGTATGGCTAATTTTCTTCAGGGAAAAAAACTACTTTGGCAATAACCAGGAGTGAAAGATCTCACAATGCTCTGCCTTCTGAGCGCTTGCTATGGAATCCATTGGTGGCATGGGCACCAAAGGCAGGAAAGCACATGCATATGTATGTGCACACAGAGAGAAATGTCTATTGGAAGCAACTCGAAAGAAAAATAAGAAACCTACATGGAAAAATATTAGGAGGGAAAAAATTCAAAGCCAATGTTTTCTGCCAAAGCTAAGAAGGTACTTCTGTTCCACCAGGCTACTGTGCTACTGTTCTTAAACTCCAGGCACTCTGGTTGCGGCAAGCAGCCCATGACACTCAGTACCTTCCTTCCATGGAGCAAGAGAGTGAGAATGTGCAGCAGATGAATGACAGCTCTTGTCAGGCAGCACAGCAGCGCTTCCAAAATGCAACACCATTTTACTTTTCTGTGGAAAATCTGTTCTTGAGGGAACACTGAAGGAAAAACAGCAGAAACAAGCCCCAGAGCAGAAGTATTTCACTGAAAATAATCTGCTGGACAATAGCTTCCTACATTAAAGCTGTTATTTTTTAAACACTCCAACTGTATATGGTGGTGAGTTTTTAATGCTCATCCAGCTAGGCAGTCATAAATCAGGAGATGCATTATCAGAAAGGGAGGTAGTAAAGGCTCATACCACAGCGTGGACACGTAACATAATTCATAAACTGTGATGATCCAAAGCAACAGAATAAGTCCCAGAGTCATCCTTAGAAAATAAGAGATATCTCTCATCTCAAAACTTTATTAGGTTTACAATACCTCAACATACACCAGCCACCCATTTACAAAAAGACAACCAGCTCCCTGCGGCTTAAGATAAATTCAACTAAGAACAACATATTCTTTTTCATGTTCAGGCATAAAATCTGATAAAAGTTCAAGCTTCACAGATTCATAATGGGTTGAGAAAACACCTGTAGAGCAGCCATGCTGTTCATATCCAAAGGAAGAAAGTTAACTACTGAAATACAGTCAGCAACTTGACTACATTAAAGCATTACCAGATCTGTTGTAATTAATTTTTCTTGTCATTTAATAAGGAAAACAAAGCTGTATTAAAATAAGTTTCATCAAAGTTCATTAATTAAAATGCTGTGCATTCTAAACAGTCTGTGGTTTGAGATCTTTCTGTAATAAATAACAAGGAATGTGCTTGCACTTACGGTGTTTGGGCCAGCATAATTGCTATAAAAATAATTACCAGCAATTTTCCTCTTGCATTAGATCAGTTGATGAAAAGGAATAACAAAACCCTTTTCTTCTCTTTGTAGTTCAACACACGCAAAATAATACCATTGAAATTCAAATCAAATGGGCAGATACAACGTCTATGAGAGGATCAACTGATAATACACAATATTTTTTAATAGCTGTAGTAAGTGTTTGTGGTAGATTGAAGTCCAGTGGGACTGGAAAGGTATATAAATGTTTATTTCTAGCTCCTGTCGGCATTTTGATTTTATAGGGATTTCAGATGAGATTGAGCAGAAACATTTGTCCTAGATAATTCCTTCTTCAGACTGGTGAAGTACAGATTCACATTGCTGCAATTTGATGCCTGCCTAGTCCCAAGAGGAAAAAAAAAATCACATTAAACTCCAGAGCAACTGGCTGGCAAGTTCTTGTGCCATCTGCACAAAACCTAGCAAGGAAAAAACTAATATTAGTCCTACTACTTGGCAGGGAGTTGGAGGTGGATGGTTGTAGGGGGAGGAGGTATTTTGGTAGCAAGAACTACCTGGAGTACAAATACTGGAAACTTTCCAATCTGGCACATTATTAGAAATCAAAGAACCTTTTGGAAAGAACCTTCATGGATCCCATTACACTTATTGCTCCTGCTCTAAATCAGTAGTGCTCAGCAGTCAGAGCATCCAGCTTCCTAGGGAGCTGCTTGGCAGAGGAAATACCTGTTTTGAGGTATTATTACAAAAATCTGTCATGTCTTGAAAGAGAAACACTTCTTCAGAAAACATTTTTGTATGAAAAGGCTTAAAATTGGCATTTTAGAACCCACAATTGTCTTTGAGGAGCTCTGAGCACCAGTGGGAATCAATAAGGCTCGTCTAATGGGAAGTGAATCCTGAACCAAAGCCAGCTTGGACAGATGAAAAGTTTTGCAGTGATTACAGCAAATACCATATCAGACTTATAGGGTTCAAATACCAATTCTTCACAGATGGGAAGAAGCAAGATGAATACAGTTGCAAGCAGTTGTCCAAGGAGTACAACCATCTGGAAGCTGGGGAATGGAGACTATTTTCCCTATGTTTTAGTTACACAGGCACAAGTAGCACAGAAAGCATCAAGAGGTCTCCTGGAAGTTATGCCAGTGCAGCACAGGATCTCACCTGACGTGGCTTTAGATGTGCTATTTTAGAGATTGCTGGAGCCATTCAGGATTCAGATTTGCTTGGGATCTCCAGCTGCTCACCACCATGGCATACAATCACTAGATCATCACTGTGTTGGTACCAGCTGACATGGGCAAGCACTAAGGGCAGAAAAAAAAGGCAGGTGATAGCTGCTGGTATTTCCAATCTACCCCACAGGCTGATTGTCTTAGCCCATGTTTGCACAGCAGATCAGCAACCACTTTAGTTGTCTCCTTCCAGATGAAGTGCAACATTCAGAAATGTTGTCATTACTGCGAATAAGCTATAACACTGTCTGGGCACCTGAGTCCTTGTGTAAAGTATTTCCCTACTGCAGAGGGAAATATCGGCTTTATAAAAGTTGCTGATTATTCAAAACCTCTCCCCTTGTCAGATCTGCAGCCAGGAGTGTATCTGAGCCATTTTGCTCCAGGGAAAGAACAGATTTTTATAGAAATGTTCTTCCTCATCCAAAATACTGAAAGGGAAAAAAAAAAAAAAACCAAACCCAAAACCAACAGATGGAAAAGTACAAATATTGGATAATTAGGAGTCACAGGGCAAGAGTAAGCCAAAACAATTTCTCCTATTTCTATCAAGTGGATAATATACACATGTAACAAAGGAAGTAAAACAAAAGAAACAGAAAGTCATTTCAAGTAATAGCCTAAAAAGAAAAAATGTATCTATTATATCACATGCGACTCATAGGAGCCATGATGATATACATGGAAAATGAACAAAATCTTGACTCATGTTAACTATAACTTCTAGACACAGGTGTGAAGCTTTCAGAAATGTAACATATATTTGTTTAGTTAACCTTCAAATTCAGAAATGGAGTATTTGAAAGGCAAGAGCAGATACTTTTCTGTATCTTTTTCTTTCCTCATTATTCAGAAGGTGTAATGAGGACCCAGACTTTAAAGTAAGTAAGCAAGCATCTAGTTTCACTTAGAATTTTACTTTTACATTTGGGCATTGAACTTCAGAATTACCCTTTTTCTTTTTTTCTTTGAGAAGTGAAAATGATCCAGAGGGGGATTTGAAAACACTGCCTGTTCTTTTCAATTCCACAGTTATTTGCAGATGTAGACTAGGTCACTTGGAAGTGATTTACAGGTGCAATTATGGCACTTAAGAAGCTGGATTGCATTCTGAAAATGCTGCCAGCACAGAACAGCAAGCCCAGTTAAAACCAGATTCCAATTCTGGCCCTTCTCCTTAGATTCTTGCACTGTTTTTACATATAATTTCAAATGCATTCTTCATTAGCCACTTAGCACATAAAGGATTCGAGGTTGGAAAAGCTGGGTTAGTCTGCACCAGAGGATTGTAGAGTCTCAGCTGGCATAGAAAAAAAGGAAATTACGCCTGTGCACACCTAAAGATTAACAACAAACTAAATCTCCTCAAATACCTTTAGCCTTTGAGGAGTGGCAGGTCACAATCTCCTCTCAGCAGCTAGCTCTGTTATTACTGTAAACCACAGAGCATCCTAACTTTGATCCCTCAGAATATGGGAATTATTTGCACTGTTGTCTTTTTCAAACTGTTTTCGTATGGAAGTGAAGCTAATGCAGTCACTCTCTGCATGTATGAACTTCCACGTGTTCATATGTGTCTGCCTCCTAGAAACCTTTGAAGCTCTTAGCTAATATTTAACCGATTTTGACAAGAATTTGGAAAGCAAAAAGATTATTTCTCCTGATTTCGTAGAAACAGGCTGCCCATCAGAGTCTTCAGCAATGCCATCACAGGAGGAAAAATTGTACAGAGGCACCAGATAAAGCACAGACCAGTTCTCCCAGTGCCCACTAGTCCTTATGGCCAGTAGTACAGTCCTCAAACCACGTTATACTTTTCTTATGAATTCCTTTGACTGGGTCAAAATTTTTAGTGATAAAGCACAACCAATACCACTCCAGAGACAGAATCGGTCAATGCCTGTCTGCACAAATCCCGCACTAGCACTATTCATTTGGAGATAATCTCCAGATAAGGAGAAACTCTTATTAGTGAATGATTTAATTTTTATTTTTTTTAAGCATGCTCACATATCTCAATATATGGGGAAGAAAAAAAAACAACCAAACAAAACAACAATTAAAATCCATTCAAGGAACCTAAAAATTATCACTGCTTCCAAAGCTCTACCCAGCCACAATTGCTGTGCACTGCAAAGACAAGAGACATTAATAACAATTACTGCTTAATTAGTTGCTCTCAAATCCGGTCACCAATGTGTTTGTTACTGGAGACAAAAATGTACATTTCTTCTTTTCCACTGTGTGTTTGAACTATTCAATTGACATTCATATTCATTTGTACCTTAATTTATTCATGTGTCTTCTTTTTTGGTGGGAAGGATAGGCAGGCATTGCTTGGGGAATTGCTGTTATTCAATCTAAAATTTTGCCTGCTTTCTTTAGAGCAAGAAGGCTCAGAAATACTGTGGATAATTCACCAAGAAACTCCAAAGAAACCCTTTATCCTTAAAGATTTAGCTGCAGAAATGTGTTTTCAAAGAAGTCTATTGGTTAATATCTTCTCTTTTGTGTGAGTAATGCTGCAAAACCCTTGATGTTTAATTTCTTTGCATCTAAAGGTATTACTCATGGTGACAAAAGCTTTATTTTCACCAAGGGCCTAAGCCAAGTAAGATGTGGTCATGCTTAAGTAGAGCAAATCACTACCTTCCAAAAAATGCAAGAATGAGACAGGAAATGGGGGAAAACAAGAGGCAGACTTTTAAAAATTAATATGCATGTAGTTTTTAATGCTGTGACAGTCACCACTGTATCTGAGCATCTTCCAGTAGTCCACAGAGGAATAAAACTGCATATATTGTGTTGTGTGTCTCTTCTCCCCCTAGACTGAAGGAGGTATGATCTGAGGGGCATGAAAGTTTGGGTTTGACTTTTTAAAATATACTCCTTTTCTATAACTTAATGTCTGTGAAACTAAGACAGAGCTGCCTCTTGCTCTTAGAGCAAAAAATACCGAGATCTGTGATGACTCTTGAGGTCTCAACCCATCCCGCTTATGAAAATCTCTCTTTGACACAAACAGGGGAGTATTTTTTGTGTAAAAAAAATGTGCTTTGTCCAATCTCAGATATTTTGAGCAAGGCAATACTTTGCAGATAGAAGCCAATGCAGATATTCTCAGTAATCCCACAGATGCCTCTCTGTCAAGTTCAGTGTTAGGTGGAGCCTCTCAATAGCTTTCTCCTGAAAAGACATCACTCTGCCCTGCCCATGTGCAAACTGTCAAAGACCTGAGCAACAGCAGCGAAGTCATCAGCTGACAGGATGAGAAAGTGTCATCAGTGTGTTTGGAAGTTGAATAGATATTCAACCCCTGAATCTTTATTTAACAGCTTCAAAATGGTTAAAACATGAGGCATAGGCAAGAAAGTGTGTTTTCAGTGTTCATTTCTCCTACTCTAGGTGCAGCCTGTTGCCACACAGCACCTGATAACTATCTCTCAGTTTGTATCCAGAGGGTGAATTCGGAAGAAGCTAAGTAAAATAGTCCTTTCAGTTATACTAAAATAAACAAAAGACAAGGACAAGGGGCCAGAGCAATGAAATCTCAATTATCTGCTGCTCCTAAATACTTCCTGCTAGAACAATTTGTAAGTTGACAAACTTAATTAGCTTCTTTACCAGTATTTTCCAGATGTTCAGATTTTCATTAGACTACTTAAAACAGATGTTTCTCACATTTAATTGTATAACTACGACAAATTTTGAGTCACCAACAGACTAACAGACTACGAAAACTAAGTTCATCCAGGCAGTTAATGCACAGACCAGTGCAATATATCAATGAGCTAATCTCCAGAAAATGTAATTGTGAACTGCAATGAAGTCATACATATGTGACTATGGAAACAAATAGCAGCTGAACAGTAAAAGAAGTAAAGGTTTGAAAGTTCAGATTTGTATAAATGGTGTCAGTGGCAAAAGCTCAGGGATTCGAATGCTGTCAGCTTTATAAAAAAATCACAGCCTTACAATGGATCTTTGGAGAACAATAAAATATTTCCTCCTGAGACACTGAACACTTGAGGCAATAAATAAAATAAATAAAACCTTATTCCTGTGATGGTTGATGATGGGAGAGAGATCTGACACCCAAGTTAGAAAGAGAGAGTGTGCAGGTGCTGTTTTCTTCTTTTAATAAACACATTATATCCAAAGGGGAAGCATCTCATTTTTTTTATCTTTAAGGCAATGGAAGTAGAAGAGGCGTCAGACAAGTCATGGCTATTTCCATATAACAACAAAATGGCACGAGCAGTTGCAAAAATAATTGCCGACATGAGTTTCAACTTCCTTCCATTAAAGGTTTCACTAATTAACTTAATAATCAATGTCAGGGAAAGATTAATCCACCACTATTAGCATTTCTGACAAACATCAGAAAATCAAAAACCAGTGAAGTTTCTATTTCTAACTCACATGCAAGCTTTAAGTCACATTGCATGGGGAGAATTCCCAAATTAAAAAGAACAGGAATGTAAATCACAAGTCTCCACACATTAACAGGAATTTAATATTTTCTTTCTCATCCATTAAGCTGCATCATAAGTCCCCTGACCTTCCTTTCCCAGCTTACTGTTTTCAGCTCAAGCACAGACTCGTACCCCAACCTTGTGCTGATCAAGATGCTTCATGTAATGAGACACATGAAATACACTTAGACTGAACATAGAAATCCAAACTGGCTGCACACAAATTAGTGCCTGGACTAGAATTTTTAAAGACACTTGAAAAGACTTTTCTGGAAGATAGCACAAACCCAGGAGAGCCAGAACCATGCGGATACAAGTGAGAAATTAAGGCAGACTACACCAGCAAGTAAGAAGTTAAGGCAGACTATACCAGCTGGGGTCATCTCCATCATATCCCTATGAAGCCTATGGATCCTTCCTTTCTCTCTGCTTTTTCCTGTGCTGCAAAAGCAAAGTTCTGTTGTGTTCCCTCAAACCTAAACAACAGAAGATGAAAATGCTAATAGCACATCAGGCTTTTTGAATTCTTGTGAAGTTACAGCCTTACAAAGGTGATCACGAAAACATTATTGCAGGGTGTGGTGCTACATTTTACCC